TATTATCTTCAAATTAGATATGCAGCTTGGAGAGGTAAAACTAATAGCCAATTATCATGAGTTCTTTTTTAGTCATTTCTCAACTATTCTCTGTGATAATTTGTTTGTATTTGATGTATTTGTATTCTCAATAAATTAATATAGTTACTATTAATATATTTAAACTATTTTAGTACTCTATTTGCCTCTAATCACCAAAGTATACATCTGTAAAGCCATTGACTAGGTTTAGATGGAGCTTGCACTTGGAGGATATTATAAATTTTTGTTTGTTGCATATTTAGCTTTTGATTGTTCCTCCAACGTAGAATACTGTTGAGTTCAACCTATTTTGATTTTATCAATTATTTTACCTTAAATTATATACCATTTTTACAAATAAGACTGTCTAATCAAGTAAATATCAGTTTATTCTCTAAACTGATAAAGTCGGTGAATGTGCTCGCCATACTCTAGATTTTCAATTATCCGTCCTGATTATTGCTTGTAGTAATTAACTGTGGATACATTTAAATACTTTGCATTCATTGAAATTCAAGCTTTTATCTGTACACTTGGCTTATTAAGGATATGCTCTGTCTCGTTTTAAACACCCTACTTGCATTTATTTCAGGCGGAAAACGACATTATCATCCACTTCGATATAAGGACTCAGATATTTCTTCATTTGACGGATCTGATTTATTTAGTCAATCAACTGATGCCACAGAATCGAGTCACTCTAGTAATAGCAACAGCGCTGTCTCAGCCTCAGATGCATCTAGCGTCGCCCAGACAACTAGTGAATCTGATTCTGAGGCATCCTCATCTGCTGATGGAAGCATTTCTGCAACAAGCCCTGATGAAGAAAGTGATGACGACGAGGAAGGTGCTGCGGGGGATACCTCGAGCACAGGGTCTGGAGCCACTCAGCCAGCTAAGCGCAGGCCAAGTCGAGCGGACAAAGCATCAAGTGAATTACGACTACTAGGTCGAACAAAACAGAAGGTGACACGAAAGGGTCGTCAAAGTAAAATAAAGACAAAGGAACGAGGAAAGAAGGCGAGGCAGCGTAAGCAGCTTAAAAAGCGTAGACTACGTACCCGGCTTAGGCAAAGTGATATTAATTCATCAGACTCTGGAAAAATGGACCGTGACGAACAGTCGAAGAAGAGTTCAGAGGCCGACACTTTACAGCTAAAAGTAACAGCTTTTATTTTTTATGCTTTTTCAAATCAAGCGCTATTATAGCTTTAATTAAAGATTTTATTTTTAACTGGAGGCTTGGCTATGTACTTTCAACTTTGGGTGCAAGATTATCGAGTAAACTTTTTTTAAAGTACTCAGGCCGCCTAAGCTCACAACAAAAAATGTATAAATATTTTGCTAAAAACATCGAATATGCATCTTATAAAGATAAAACGATGGCCATTATTCATAATATTCGTAATCAGTATATTGATATGCATTTGTAAAATCTTCTCTACGCTGTACCCTGATTTTTTTTCAAGACGCGTTTTTTTGGCTATATCAATGCTTATTTGATATTTTAGACTTCTCCTCATCTTCTTTTTCGTGGTCCTACCATTGATATTTAGTTATATGGCTTCACTCGTTCTCGGCTGGAGCGCCACTTCGCTTTTCAGCGTCTCACTCATTACCTGAATGCAGGGGGGCGATTGAAACCAAGGCGGGTGTTTGTTTGCTGCGTTTGCGAGCGGGCAGGCGAGTGCATAGCCAATGAGGCAGCTTCCACCTCGACGGCCAAGAAAGAGCTTCCGCCACAGGCACCACTGGCTAACACAGTGGTAGATACCGCCACTGTTAGCATGTGTGTGCCACCTAGCCATGGACCAATGGCAGGGCATCCTGCAGCCAAAGGTGATAGGCGATCGACATTAGGAACAAAAAGAGAATGTGTTGATCGTCTAGAACCCTCAACCACTTTGCATGATCTACCTTCGATACCAACGGTACAAACGGACATCGCGACAGCGGAACTCACTACCGAAGTCGCTGTGGATGACAGGAAAGTGGAGGAAAGCTTTAATGAAGATGGTACTACTACTATAAACGCCGCCCTGATCAAGGATTGCAGCATTAAATCCCAGAAAAAGGCCATGTACGAGATTTTCTTTCCCTATTATAATTTTAAGAAGGAATTGCGCAAGTTAGCTTATTTTTTTAGTGCCGTGTTAGATTTTCACCAGAATATTCCTGTTTTTACTCTAAGGCAAATGA